GTGCAGAAAGAAAACGGCAAACTCCCTACGTTCAATTGTCAAGCGAAACTCGACAATGAACTTGACAATCTGTGGCTAGCTCACTGTCTAGCTTCTCTATGCAGAGGCAAATGCCACTATAGCAGTTAAGCCTGCTACAAGAAGGGAGGGTACGGCGGCAGCTGCACCGCCCTGGACAGGCGCTTTGAGGTCCTCGTCAGTCATTTCTGTCAATGATGTTTTTCGTTCTTTGAGCGCTTCGTAATACTCCTTGCTGCAACGCAAAGCCAAGACATGAGGAAGCATACAGTCGAATTGCAGAAGCAGAAGTTGTGCTGTATCCACCCCTCTCCATGATTTAGCCCCCTCCACTCAACACTTACTCGAAGGGAGCCGTGTTCGCCTCCGCTGCAGGCTCCATCTGACAAACAAGAAATGTGACAGTTTGTTCTGGAGTTCGAGCCTCTTCTCCTCCCGTGCATGTTCCTACACCGCAGCCAACTTTGGTGCTCTTAGACCAAAGAAGGCGTGCGAGGTTGGCGCCGGCGGGGTCCTCCCAGAACGTCGTCCACACATCATTTTCAGGGTACGACGTCAGCACACTGAGAGAACAGCAGCAGTCGACATAACAATACCATGCAGAATTAGCATTTAAGTCAACTGGATCAGTGATGATGATGAAGATGAAGCGGGTCTGTGTCGGGCACGAGGTGTATGAGAGTATGGCGGCTATGATTATGGAGAACTGTTCGTCACATTATCTTCTCTTCTCCGCATGACATCTCTGTGCCGTAGTCTTTTGCCTTCTTTGATTTTGTATGCATTAGTTTAATGCCTTGTGCAACTACGCTACCTACTTGCTTGTGTGTTGGTGTTGTGCTGCGGGCAGTAAAAATGCACTCACTCAAGTCCAGCTTGAAGAGCGTTCTGCACAGCTTGGCGATATTTCTGGTCTTCAGATTCTGGGAGCTGTGCGACAAATTTCGTCTTTTTCTGAAAAATTCAAACGGAAGCGGAAAACGTCAAATACATTTTCGTGCTTATGCGGAGGTCCACAAACGTCTAAATGCGTATTTATGCTCGCCAGTCGAACATTTCAACGGTGGCTTTACTCACGACTTCTCCGATGGCGGCGGCACACGTAGTGGCTGGGCTGTCAGATACCGTCGGTGGTGATGTAGTCTTTAGACCTTCAGCCAGGTCGCTGTTCTCCGTCAATACGCCAATCCGTACGGACATCTGACCAACGCGGGCCAAGTTCACGGAGGTGTATGCATCTGCAAGCAACAGAAGCTTGCCTGGAATCAGAAGAATGGAGGAGCGCCCATTCCCTGGCAGGTGTTTGTCTAAGCAGTGCAGTTAAGCTAATTATTTTTTGCAGGAACAGAAAGAAATACTCAAAACAAGGAGAGAAACGTGTGTCTGCTTACCTTTGTCTGCAACCTGAACTTGGTATTGCAAATCTCCTGCCGCCGGCTGTAGCCCAGAGAGCGCCACGAGGCAAACAACAGCTGCTCCCTTGAAAATGGGTCCCATCGTCAAAAATAACAGACTAGAAACCGAACAAAATAATTAAACGGGCTACAAAGAGAAGAGTAATAAGACAAAATGAACATGGAGTGTGAATGACAAGCAAGGAGAAGCCTGGGCTTGTCGAGCTTGTCGCCTATCTCTGGGCCGGTAGCCCCCCTAGAGGCGGGCCTGGCACAAATCTGATGGTTCTCCGGTGCACACGAGGACTCGAAT